ACGTTTGCACTCTCAATTACGATAACCTTGAAACCACTCCAATCAACTCGGCAGAGGTTCAAACCAACACATAAACTCCACTGTGTTCTTTGAAAACAATATAGGTTATTCCCATGACTTAGATGTTTAACCTTTATAACGTCCATGTACATGCACGAATGCTGGATAATTTTATACTTCAGTGGAAAGCATCCTTTATACCATGTACAATAAAACCATGTTGATTCATAAAGTGGAGTATGTTGTTGGTCTTCCTCCATCAGACGCCGACATTGAGGGCGACAACAGAAAGTGTACAGATCAAGGTTACCATTCGTAACCAAATGATGTCCAAAGACCATTACTGTTTATGAATATTGAATTGAATTCACAACTTGGCTGACTAGACTATGTTAGATACTTTCGACTATGGTCAGTAAATGTCAAACGGAGGTAAGTCATACAATGTATCTATACACTTAACTACAGCTTTATACAGAAATAGTGGTTAACTCCAATTAGTTTTGCGTATATCATACTAATGAAAAGTTACCCTTTAAAAAACAATAAAAACAATACAAATATAACAAAAAATAATTGTACACAAACCGGGCCATCAAGTCATTTAGTCGAGGAACTAAAGATTGCCACACATACATGTCTCGCATAACACTCATCCTTTTCACGGTGGCACAGACACTTAATGATCTGATAAAATTAAATGTTGAGATGTTATATTGATAATGGTAGATGCTGAGGAATTGACGTGAATAACATCTACGCGTCTTTATGAATCTAAACAATATGGCATTACATATGCAAACTGTTAAAATATATATTTAATATGTTACCCTGTCGAGAACAGCTGATAGATTAGCTGCATATTAAATATATAATTTATGTATAATATAAACATTTCAAATAGTCTTCATAAAACTATAAAATGATTTGTGTATGATAGTGTCATTGAGCCGTCATTATATTAATGTAATTGCGTACGATGTGGTTAACACAGTGTATTAGAAAAGACACATATGGTATTCATGCGATCCCAAAACAGATGATCGTATCATCATTTACCTCCATCGTAAACATCTAATTCTGCTGCATCATTATTAGGAAACTACGTTTTCATGAATTCATTCAATTGAAATTGTAATAACTAATAACGTTTGAATTAGAGGATGCCGAAATCAATACTGTTAATCACCGAAATCCACCAAATTGTAAACGTCAAATATGTTTTGCTGCATTTAGCCATTTAAAAACCATTCTATGTTTTGTAATCATAATGTTATGAACCAGAGTTCGTTATTGACAAATTTCACATGTCCTAGACTGAATCCTGGATTTGACCATCGTGAACAGAGTTTCCTTGTACGGAAATAATAATTATTTCTGTCGATTATTTCTTCCGGAATGTTTACGAAATCATCCAAGCCATGCACAAACTACAGAGCGCCGACATCGACCAGACATCAATCAAATATATTTAATCTAACTCGGAAACCGGCTCGTGTCACTCGCTCTCGATCCTGTCATGGCCCCGACCACCCTTTACAGCCCTTTCAAACTTCACACCACATGAAACAGCCCGACCCAAATGTGATGGATTGAGACTTGCAATAATATTTATAATCTATTTATGGTAAGATTGTAATGTAGTGAAATGGGGTTCACGTCGCGTCCAAGATTATTGCACTTATTTAGCGACGTGCATGCACCTGTGTGTGTGGCTGCTTGTACTCGTCCAGACTGACGCCGATTTTATAGTGCTAGCCCGCTGAGATACCATGCCGCAGTTTACCGTGAATACCCCACTCAGACGCAATATACTGACTCCGAGCCGACCAGTCCTTGCTTTAACCCTTCTGTTTCAACCTTAATTGGGCAACTATTAATGCGAAGAGTGTATGGGCAACCATGATTTCAGCAACATGAATAGTACATTTCAAAGACAACCGACATCTTCAATGGTTCCTGATTTTCTTATCCTCATCCCTTTAAGTAAACTTATGCCATGGCAACTGCTAGGAAAATCAGCGCCGTAATCCGTCAAACGATGACAGGTAGAAGTTTGAGAATAATTAGCGTCCTAATGTCAATATGGCGTCTTTACTGATAAACAAAGACTGCTCAAGCCTGCGTTTATCACAAGTTGAAATTCATACAAAGACAGTTTGTCCATTTTATGTCACACCCAACCCTCTCATTATTCAAGAAGTCATCCTACAAGCAAATTAACACTCACAGAGATTGCAAGACCAAAGGTTAACGCCGTCATTGGCGTCGACGTGATCTTTGCAACGTCGGTGCTCACATCGACGTTTGCGATCACACCCTTGCCTTTGATCATGGTATACCTTAACCTATGATTTCTGTTATTCTCACTTGCCGTATGTATTTAATGAGAGTCCGCCTATTATTAAACCGCACTCAATATGAATCTATGAACTGGGAAATCAATAGTGATCAGGTCTAGCTTATGGTGCCACGAGTAAAGCTTGATATTGGCCCTTTCGACAAGGCAATCAATTACATGGACTGACGGATCAATGTCTATTTTTACAAGCAAGGAAGCTATAAAATGTTATTCCGTTGCTCATTATGATTGTGTAATTCATTCATTGTGTTTTGTCGCTACATGGATGGAATAGTGCTGATGAGACGCAAAAGGTCTGTGCAAATAATTTCAAGTGGTGAAGTTAGGGTTTATCACATGAAATACGTATTTCCTGACAGCGATTTTTCTATTTACATATATATTAACAATACGTTTGTTATCAGGTTGTAGAGCATATTTTCCCGAGTTTGTCGCTTCGAAATTGACAGTTGTCTGATTGGTTCGTGAGTACTGGAAATTGCTTCAATGTTTGTCAAGGAAATGTTATTCTTCACATGCAATTGACAGCATAACTTCTTTAGTGATATCCATGTGCAACTAATATATAATTGAAGCAAACGAAATGACTTGCCCAAGGCTTTAAGTTTACTGAACCTGATTAACACCAAAACATTATAATAGTGTCTTTATGAACAATTCCCACCCTTCAAATATGACTGACACCAGTGATCAAAACTTAAAGTAAAATCAAAATTAAACCTTATCATTCATCTAATGGCCTTAAGTACAGTGGCAGTATAGGCCATCCAGAAAACTTGATTCGACTGTTGTGTATAATTATGACATGTGGATGTAATGCAAAAATAGAAGACGTTGGTATTCCTTGCAAACTAACAAACTACCATCGCATTGAGTCTGTTGCCGTCATCTCAAAGACGTCGACGCAGCAATGCCTCTCCTTTAGGAACCACTGAGACTGCACAAAATAAGAACAAGGCTATACTATGTCGTTGAAAGAAATCAACCGACTCCGGCAACTTTTGCTGATGGTTGTGTCTCAAAACAGTATCGACTAGAGAGTATAGTTCTTGATGCAGCTTTGAAACCAGAAACAGACTCAACTAAATCAGACAAAGATCGCATGTTCCTGAAGTTTAAATGTGCAAACAAGGGTATTGGTGCTTTAAACTTAAGTAACAATTTCAGAAAAAAACTTTCCCTAAATATCCTACATTATTTCAAATTTCAGGAACCACCAACAATTTCAGTTTTCTATATACCAATTATAGGAAAGTGTTGCAGAGCGTGGAATTGACAGCTCATGATGTAAATTCCACTATTTGTGGCTGCCATGACTCATAATACTGCTACCAACCCGGTAGCTCATATTATCACAGGTGATTTGTTGACAATAACAGGTTTGCCAATAATTCAAATAGGGACCAAACACGATCAAGAACTTACGGATGATGTTGAAGTATATGCAAAAGATGGGCTAAAAGAGACGATGAACCTGTTGAATGTCTTTCAGAGTGGGTTAAGGCATGATGTTGCCATTTGTAGAATGCACAAACTGCAAAATAGGTTGGAACAAACTTAATCTGTCCCAGCTAGCTGTCATCCAATGAATGTCTGCCTTACATGACAAGCTTGTAGTATTTCCCACAGACAAGACCTCAAATAATACAACCATTATATGTAAGCAAAACTACATTCATTGTTTGATCAAAGAAATATATAACCGGGTCCAGTAAGTGAACTATCACCCCTTCCCCTAAGATTCACCATAATCCTTTATAAGGAAGGAGTTTCTATATATTCCAGACAAGAGAAAATAATGATTTTCAAAAACCCGAATATTTGCAATTTGAAAAGAACCAAGGGATAAGACATTTAGGTAAGAAATTGACATCCTTTGCTAATGTTTCTTTATGCATATGAATTGGAATGTCTGGTAAGCAAAACCAAAGCAATGGAATTTGGCCGAGAAGTTTAACTTAAGCTTCAGGTATATCGATGATCTGATATCGGTCGATAATGGCAAATACCCAGTTCCCTTATACTGATTTACTCAACTGAACAAGAAATATAAATACCACTTAACAGCCTCATCTGTTTCATATTTAAATCATTGCCTAAAGATTCAGAGTGACAAAAGCCACCCGCAAGAGTGTATGACAAGAGCTATGTGCTCAACTTTCCATTAGTCAACTTTCCCTAAATGTGGAGGTTTATAAATCTGACGCATCAGTGACAAAAAATATATCCGATTGAATTTCCTATTTTGACTTGTACCATGTGTTTCCGTGTTTTGTTTTCGGGTAAACAACTGACTTGTCTTTGCATGTATTTATGACGGGTACCGCCGATAGAGCAGGATTCACTCACCTTTGTGCGAACACCTGGTATCATCACTATATATTTGATCGTGATTCGGGAACACATACTTGTGATATATCGGTATCGAACAATGGACAATACTTTCAGCTAAGATTTCTTATGATTACGGAAAGGGTCTTTGAGGATCCAAGGGTCCAATGCACACGTAATCAACCAAATCATCCATATGACGGGCATATGGACGATGGGGATCATGTGATCAAATCTGGCACGAATCCCAAGGGCTTACTTTCATTTTAACAAGTTGAAAGTTCTTAAAAGACGGATCAAAACTAACCTATATGGTGACGTCATAGTTTGCAGTTGTTGCGTGCTCATCCAGAGTATCCAGATGACGCGGATGTAGCAGAACATGAGGACGATGGCGGGGATGACGAAGAGCACACACAGTTGCCACACACTGTAGACGAGGCGCCCGGTGTCGGGGATGCCCACGTCGGCACATAACACGACAACAACTGATGTTGCGTTGTTGTGGTATAAGATGGACTCGGTGTCCTGCAATAGAGACAGATACGTATGATGAAGTAACAATGTTAATGATACAAAGAGGAAAAAACTGTTGAGCTACATGTATATGTACACATTCGAGCAGATAATTGTGTGTTGTTATACATCGCCCAATATCACACTACAGCTGCGGGACCGCCTCCGTGGTCTTGTGGTAGAGCGTCCGCCCGGAGAGCGGAAGGTCCAGGGTTCGATCCCGGGCCGCGTCATACAAAAAGACGTTAAAAGATTGTACTTGTTGTTACCCTGTCTGGCGCTCGGCATTAAGGGGCTAAAACAAGGACTGGTCGGCTCGGAGTCAGTATACTGTGTCTGAGTGGGGTATTCATGTTAAACTGCGGCATGGTATCTCAGTGAGCTAGCACTATAAATCGGCATCAGTCCGGACTAGTACAAGCAGCCACACACACACATACACGTGCATGCACGTCGCTATATAAGTGCAATAATCTTGGACGCGACGTTAAACCCAATTTCACCTCACTACAGCTGCGGACAACTAACTGAGACTTGTGGCTGATTTAATGCAGCATGAGCAACGACGTCGGCTTTCGCATGTGCCATGCGTCTATTTTGACGTTACGAAACAATGAGAAATTACTTAAATGAGGATGAGCTGGTTACACTGTGTGATCCGGCATGTCACTGTAGTACTACCTGTCGTCACTGATCATTGTTTGAGCACTGTTTTATCGGTCAAGACGTGTATTTACTGGGGATGACACATGTTTGGAAATTAATGATAGAGACTACAAGTATGACAGAATAAGCTGTATGTGCACATGTTATGACGCATGGTTACTGAGGAAGAAATCGGCCGAAACCATGTATCAGTACTATCAACTTTTGACTTGAATCTAAAACCTTAAGACATGTCCATTCCTCTTTTGCACTGGATTCCAAAGCTCAATAAATATGCTTACAGGGAGAAAAATGTACCACCAAATCCCTATCTCAAAGATTAACAATAATCCTTAATACAATTAAGGAAGGACTTTCGGTATTTTCACAGAAAGTATGGGAAACAAAAGGAATTAATGCCAAGTGGATTCTCAGTTTCTTGACTTTTTACATTCTCACAAAATAACCAGGTTCACTTCTGTCAAAACATTTGATTTTTCAACTTTGTGCACCACTATCCCACATGACAGCCTTCAGGAAAAACTTCATTCCTGGATCAAAGTTTTTTTTGTCACAAAACGTTCAGAGGTTCAGGCCAATTTGTCAAAAGTGAAAGCAAATGCCAAATGAAGTTTACTGAGAAAATAATGTGTGAAGTTCAGGACTTCCTCATTGATAACATGTACATCCACATTTTTAGTGGTAAGACATTTAGGCAAGACGTAGGCTTCCCAATAGGCACCAACTGCGCTCCCCTTCTTTATGCATATGAATCAGAATTTCTGCTCGGATTGGCAAAGTCAAAACAAGGTAGTTTGACCATGAAGATTAACTTCAACTTCAGGTATGTCGATGAACATCGTTCAATAACCATCAAATAGCCTTCCCTGATTTACCCACCTGAACAAGACATATAGGAGACCAGTGAGACCGCTTCATCTGTTTCATATTTTTAGATCTGTGCATAAAGATTGAGAGTGACAGGACTGGACGACAAGAGGGATGACTTCAACTTTCCAACAGTCAACTTCCCCTTTATGTAGAGCAAAGGTCATGCAACTCCAGCCCTTTGTGTCTACATTTGACACCTTTGAGGAACAATCGAGCATGCATTTTTTACCAAGATTTGAAAGAGCGCCAACTCTTGCTTAGAAATTGTTTGATCAAAGTTACAACATCAGCAGAGCGTTCAAAACGTTTATGGTAGACATGTGATGGACAAAAAATTGTCGTATCAGTGTCAAAAATGATGCTATTCCCTGTTGACTTGTAACATGTTTTGCCAAATTTTAAGGCGAACAATTAACTTGTCTTTGCATGTGTTTGCGACGTGTGCCGCCGGTGGGGTAGGATAAGCTCACCTGATTCATAAACATATGCTCATGATATGGTCAGAATAGTACAATCGACTTTTTTTAATAGAGATTTCTTATGAATATGGAAACGGTTTTGTCGCTTTTATATACATGAAAAAAATTGTATATTTTGTCCAAGATGTACTTGTATGTACAGTGACAATAACCACAAGATACAAATCAATTTTCACGTTAACGAAAGAACCTATTTTGTTTGTCGAAATAGAAAAGGCTCAGTACTGTTATCAAAACATAATATCATTATTATCATTCTTATGGTGGGAAACAGCTTCAAAACTTAACATGCAGAATACGACATTACTGCGGGTCTTGAAAACGACTTCGTCAATTTTGTAATCTAGACAAGACATCCTCTCTGCAGAAATATTCAATGGTTGCCTCTAAAATCAATCTACAGTCGTTTAAGATGTATCGGACTTTGATCGGAACTCACACTCGACTAACCAAAGGTGATAACATCTCCATGATTATTAAAGAAACCACTTTTTTAACCCAAGTCTAAGGAGTTTAAGGTACCACTGACAACTAAACATTATGAAGCGTTTACTTTTTTTGTTATTTTGAAAGTAATGAAATTCAAAGCTCTCAGTTTGACAGGTTCAAATAAAAAGTTTTAATTACTAAAATCGTCTATGAATTCAGACGTGAATTTGTGAAATACTACTGACTTGTCAGTCATCAGTTTCAGATAACAACAATCGCTTTTGACTGAAACCACTGATGATCGCGGAAGCTGATATTAGATGTTAAGTTAAGTCTAGTAAAGTACTTCGTTCTAAATTCTATTAAAATAACATGTTGAAATAATGATTGTACAATAATTTGCCACAAAACGCAGAGCCGGGATGACAACAAAACAATCGCAGTATTTGTCACATATAAAACACTAATCGGAGAGAGCGTTGGCATGCTTACATAACTCTAGTGTACAGATACAGTGAAACAATTAACATTCATGAGGGTTATATCCATGAGTGTTTTTTCTCTTATCTCGATTACTGGTATCATCCTGGTTATCAATAAAAAATGATCTGACTCGACAGGCCGTGTCCCACTTAGGCAAAAATTATATATATAAATTGTCAATGCAAAAGAATAACCAGTCTAGATTATCCGCCTGAGCAGATTTCATTTGTCATACAGGCCCAAATGCACAATATGTGTACTACAAAGTGCTTTTCGAATATTCGATCTGGGAGACGTTGACGTAAGCCTTCCCTAATACTTGCACCCTAATAGATTGATGTAATCAATGTACGAAAAATGTACTATGTAATATGTACTAAATATGTACTAAATACATAGTAATGTGCAGACAGTTTGCGCGTATCGTTATGCTTAACACGAAAAATCGTGGCAACGTGGAGCAAGACAATGAACATCAAATAATGCATCTTCCCGATGGGCCTGTTCACACCTCTATAGTTGTAAACCATTTCATGGTGATGGCGTGAAGGCATAGATTGCATACGACAAGTGTTCATTCATTGCCTTGGCTATTAAAGTGACAATAATTACCATGATTGAATGGGTGAATATTGCGGTAATTTGTCAGATCTTTGCCTCAAAATTGTTGTCGAGCTTGGTCTTGTTCAACATGAATGCCTGTTGTTCTAAGAGCTGTCAAAACAATGTATTTTTCCATTAGGTTCCCTGAATGATTGACATGAATGTCCCTGTGAAATTATTACTTGCTGATACAAATTACCGTACACGTAGATTACCACACATAAATCTTGTTTCTCTATCGTCCCCGACGTGTCCTTGTAAAAAGTTGGTGCAATTTCTTCTGAAACCTTATATTATTTTTATGTCCTGATTTTGGATAAATAAAAGCTACAGAACTCTTTCCATAGCCACAAGAAAACTCTCCCAAAAGCCACTGTACCATTCCATGCATGATACGATGTTATGAGCATGTGTTTGTGAATCACTATGATATTGTGATGATACCAGGTGTTCGCGAAAAGGTGTACGTATCCTGCCCCGTCGGTTGCACTCGTTACAAACACATGCAAAGGCAAGTCAGCACGAGAATATATGATTCAAGTCAAAACAGAGAAGTGCATTGGACATATTGTTTGTCACTTATGCGTCAAATTTTGAAATGTCCGCCATATGTATACCATAAAACGTTTTGAAAGCTCTACTGAGGCCTTGAATGTTGTAGCATTCATCAAACAACTTTTGAGCAAGAGTCGTATAACGCTCTTTGAAATCTTCGTGGAAAGAGCATGCTCGATTGTACCTCAAAAGGTGTGAAATGTAGACACAAAGGGCTTGATCTGTTGGAATATTGCTCAACATAAAGGGAAAATGACTATTGGAAAGTTGAATTCATCCCTCCTGTCATGCAGTCTTTGTGGAGTTTTTTTCACTCTGAATCGTTATGCACTTTTCTAAATATAAAACAGACGAGGCTGTCTCACTGGTCTCCTTTATTTCTAGTTCGGGTGGTAAATCAGTGGAAGGGAATAGGCTGTGATGGTTATTGAATGATATCAGATCAGCAATATTCCTGCAGCTTGAGTTAAGAAGCCTAGAAGTGTGGAATGTGATGAGATAACAACGTTTCGAGTCGGACGGTGGGCGTTTCTAGAGTCTCGTGTGAGTGTGTTGGTGCTTTCAACAGTATGTCAGGCGTGTCAGCTTGATGTGGGAGGCAACCAAAGTGATGCAGGCGTCAGACGTTTACCACTTTGAAGAAACGGGCATGGTGGTGTCAAACCAAGAAACGAGTAAAACGGTATTCGAACCTCAACCATAGTTTTCTTACACGCAAAAGGGATTATGGATCTCGATGCTTTACCTGATGTGTCGAAACCAGATGATCCAAAATAAATGCCGCCTGATCATGAATGACTTTGTGAAGATATAACAAACTGAAAGTTGGAAGCTGATTGGAGCGCTTCGCACACGCAAGTAGGCTGCGCCACACATATAACCTTTAGACTGGGACCACACCGGAGCACCCTTCACAGACGCAATCTG